TGTATCATGATAGAGTATCTTCGGCTAGGTCAGTATACGCTATTGTTTAAGAGCAAAAGGTCTGGAGGAAGCTGTGTAGGCGGGGTCCGAGTTTTCGGAAGCTGTTCAAAAAGAAAGTGGGTAGAAGGCGCGTTTACAAGAGAAGAAGGACGAAAGGTAGATCGTTTGGTGGTGGTTCAACATCGTGGGCGAACTGGATAAAAGGTATATGAAATTCGTCTGTGGCTATTGTTGCAAGACTTTGCTCTAAAAGCAGAAGGAGAGAATTGATGTCAGCCGGGATGTGGAGTCGGATGCCTGTCAGTCCCTGGGCCCTCACTTGCGGAGCCTGGAGGGAGGTGGAGGATCACTGCAGCATGAGGAATTTGAGGCGCTGGGCGCAACACAGGGTGAGGGGATCCCCACCTCAAAAAAGAAGCCAAAAGAAAAAAAGAATCTATGTCTAAAATAAGATATGTTAAAAGAAAAGAGAAGCTGTAACCCTTTGATGTCTGGAAACCGAAGCCAGTTAGACTGCATCACAGAGCGCTGCTCTTGGGTTGGGTAGCATTGAATTTTACAAGTATCAACAAAACTTCTACAGATAGGTGGGTGATACATCTTGTTTAAGTGGATATCTTGCTGTAGTAAGGAAACGAAAAACACTGGAAGGGGGGCTCGCAGCACGCTTCAAAGCGAAAGGTGTCACTGTGGGTAAACCATCGCCTCTTGCCTCAGTGGAAAAGAAGCAGCGGGAGGGGACGAACACTAGAAGACACTAGAACACGTTAGCTTCAGCCACTGTGGGCGTTGAAGTTTTAGAAGCCTTTCCGACCAACAAGGAATCCAAATCGTTGCAATGAAGCCGTCACAAGACGTTAAAGAAGACAACAGCGTCTTAAAAAAAAAAAAAAAAGAAAAAAAGACAACAGCTCGTTGCCCATTTATCCTCTGGGTCCCTTCAAAAAGCAATAAAAGAGACCATTCTAATAGATGGAGGGTAGTCTGTGCTTCGCGGATACTCATGATAGGAGTGCGCAAAACAGTTTTCTTCGCCTCTAAGAAACGCGAGGAAAAAATCTGTAGAAACTTCAGGTGCTGAGGATACTGCTAGGTGTGTTGTGTTCACATTCTGCTGAACAAAGAAAAAAAAACAAAACAAGCTGGTCAATGGGTACAGATTTACAGTTAGATGAGAAGAATGAGTCTTAGTGTTGGTATTCTGTTAACAGTGTAGGTGACTATAGCTAGTAACAATAAATAATTATGTATACTTTAATACAAGCTAGAAAGAGGAGCTGATACTACGTATCGACCGAGCAAAGAGATTGATGATGTGCGGTAAGCTACTCTGATTTGATCATTATACAATGTATTCAAACATTACACTGTACCCAATAAACATGTACAACTATTATGTGTCAATTATAAACATTTTTTAAAGAAAGAATCAAAAGGCTACAGAGCTCATGAGTTATTCTGACTTGTTCAAAGCTACATGTAGAAGAAACCAGAATAAAAACCAACAAAGATTAGACAATAAAAATCCTAAGAAAATTCTTGAATCATCATCTTAAAATAATATTTTAGTATTAATATGATCTACTTGAATTAAGACCATGAGAAGTTTGTGATCCATAAAGCACAAAATTTCTTAAATTCCACCTGCATGCCAGGGATTCAGAGCCAACAGTGAACTCTGTATTCAAGAGCAAAAAGTTTTTAATTTACAGAATTTCATAAAGTATAAACAAGCATAATTTATTATTTCTTAATTATTCTTTCCTGAGACACTTTGCTAGAACACTTACCCCAGTATCTACTTATTTAAGTAACATTAAAGATGGTGATGTTTACAAAAGTGTTTCAAAATTAAAACAATCTAAAGGTTTAACTAATGAAGGTTAGGTTAAATTCAAAAAATGAAATACCACCAAAATTATGTTTCAGATACAAAACATATGCTGGGTGCAATGGCTCATGCCTATAATCCTAGCACTTTGGCAGGCCAAGGGAGGAGGATAACTTGAGGCTCAGAGTTCAAGACCAGCTGGGGCAACACAGTGAGACCCTCTCTATACAAAAAATAAAAAAATAAAACATTGGCTGGGTATGGTGGCACATGCCTATAGTCCCTGCTACTCAGTAGGCTAAGACAAAAGAGGATTGCTATGAGCCTCAGAGTTTGGAGGGTTGCATGAGCTATGACAACACCACTGCATTCCGGCCTGGGCAACAAAGTAATAGATGACTATGAACATTAGGAAAGAAACACACTCTGGGAGGCCAAGGCAGGAGGATAGTTTGAACTAAGGAGTTTGAGACCAGCCTGAGCAAAAGCAAGACCCCGTCTCTACTAAAAAAAAATAGAAAGAAAGGCTGGACAACTAAAAAAATATATATATTTTTTAATATATATTTTTATATATTTTATATATTTTATATTGTATATATTCATATATAAAATGATAACATATGTATATATATTTATATATATGTATATATATACACATATATATATAAATAAAATTAGCCAGGCATGGTGGCACATGCCTGTAGTCCCAGCTACCAGAGGCTGAGCCAGGAGGATCCCTGAGACCAGGAGTTTGAGGTTGCTGTGAGGCTGTAATCCTAGCACTCTGGGAGGCCGAGGTGGGCGGATTGCTCCAGGTCAGCAGTTCGAAACCAGACTGAGCAAGAGCAAGACCCCTGTCTCTACTAAAAATAGAAAGAAATAACTGACCAACTAAAAATACATAAAAAAATAGCCAGCATATTAGCCAAGCACATGCCTATAGTCCCAGTTACTCGGGAGGCTGAGGCGGGAGGATCGCTTGAGCCCAGGAGATTGAGGTTGCTGTGAGCTAGGCTGACACCATGACACTCACTCTAGCCTGGGCAACAAAGTGAGACTCTGTCTCTAAAAAACTAAAAACTAAAAAAAAAACAATAAATATAATATATCTAGTTGAAATATAAAAAACGGAGGTTTATGTATAAAGACTTTTAGGAAAAGCTGGATGAATATATGTCAAACATAGTTAATCTGAGTGGTAGGATTACAGGGATTTTTACTTTTAATTTTTTCTTTGTATGCCTACATAGTTCTTATATTGTTTAAATAACAAGCATGTGCTATTTTTGTGATTACATAAAAATTTTTTGAAAAAAAAGTCAAAATTAAAGGGGAATGGACTGAATAATGTATACATATCTAGATAAGATATTATTGAGCCATGAGATCCTTAAATTATGGAACCAGGGTCCCTAGACTGATTCAATCACAGCAGCCCTTTTACCCAATTCACATATTAGGTTCTCCAATACTGCTTGAAAAAAAAAAATCAAAAACATATCCAAAAAGTTATTTGTTGACATAAAATGTTTTCTATGAACTGTTAGCTCAATTATAAAATTGTGTATATTATAGCCCAATTTAAAAAATAAATTTAAATTCTATATGAGGATTTAAACCTTAAGTTTATCTGTTTCTAATATTTCTTGAACAGGTATTTTCCCTTTAATTAAAAAAAAACTTTTTAGAAAAATTAAAAGCCTACAGAAAAGACCTTGAGTTGACTTGTATTTATTTCTAAATCTCAAAAAGATATAGGTCTAAACATAGTCTATCAGGGGAAAAAATTGGATACTTCTGTTTTAAATAAGAAGCAACATCAAGTAACATTTCCAAAGAAACCTTCAGCAGATTAAGTCAGTATGATAACATATCCAAAATAAGTAATCTAATTTTTAAAAAAAACTAAACCCTAAAATTCTAAAGTCATTTTGTCTATATTAAAAGTCATCACACAAAAGTACTTTTATATTCAACATGCATACATTATAGGTAAATGATGTTAGAACTGAACACAGTCCCAGCCCAGTACCAAATGTTTTTAAATACAATAAGCAGTTCACTGTACACTTAAAGAATAGTTTGTCTTTTTACTCACATGCAATAACATAAACTAGCATAAAGTTATAAAAGAAAATTGTGTAATAGGTACAATCCCCAAAACCTTACTTACTAGCCTCCACAACAAATTAAACAACTCAAAAAATGCTTTACTGAAGGAAACGCATACCCTTTTCCATTATACCTGCCATTTTATAAATGCATGTATTTGTTACCAAAGAAATTATGAAAGAATGCCTATATGGTTTCTGCCTTTGTCATACACTAGTTTCTCCTTGATATAATTTAAAAAGTTAGACTAGCAGGATTCAATGGCCAGTTCAAAATAAAGTTTCACAAAAATAAGTTTCAAGTTTCTCCATTAAATACTCATAGGTGTGAAAATGTTTTCATATGGCCTATAAGGTTGATACACAAAATGGAAATGAATTACTTCTTTGAGAGAGAGGTTATAAATGCATTTACACTTTTAATAACTATACTGGTCAAGATACAATAGTGAAAAATACATCCAGGCACCGTAAGACATCTGGCTATTGACCAAACAAACTCTACTGCCACCACTACCCTCCCCCTTGGCCTTCACTCACCACGGTATCCAAGAAAAAACTACGAAGTTTTTTGTTGTTTTTTTTGCTGTTGCTATTTGTGGTTGGATTAAGACCAGAAAGCAGAAAATTTCCTACTTACTGTATTTAAGGAGTCCCAAACTAAGAAATATAACCTGGTCATGAGTTAGTTGTAGCTATAATACCCAATGTATCAAAAATAGAGAAATTTATAGTTTTATCCCTTTTGAATAAATTTTTATTATTTTTAACTTCAAGGCCAATATTCTTTACAATTTGTTTTAAAAGACAAAAAAAAACAAACCCTCAAAATCCTTCCTTTTCACCCTTACCCAACACATTTTAAATGATTTCATGCTTGATCAATAATATTCCCTAAATTATATTCAAAAAATTTCAAATATACAACAGACAAAGTTTAAAGTTAGTTGCCCCCTTTATGAAACAAAAAATAAAATTACATAAAAAAACATAATTGAATAATTTTTTTCTCAATATTGGTATACAAAAATTTAATAGTCAGAATCTGCACTTACTCTTCACCCCTTTCTTCCCCTTTCGTTCCTTCTTGTACTGTTCCTTCAGTTTACTTATTAGTCCCTGGTCTACATCCCAAACCTCAGCAGTTGGGGAGAGGTCATCTTTATCTACATGCAGCATATTATCAAAAGAAAAAAAATCAGCAGTTGGCAATGCAAGCTGTTGGCAGTAAACTGTTATAACTTTATATAATCATGATAAAAATGTACTAATAGCATCTCAAAATACTTTAAAGGTGCAGTCTCAGTTTTCGTATTCACAACTCAAACTAAGTGCCCTTAAGTTTCTAAACATAATACCAATGACAGATAAATGGTGCTTCCCTTTAATGAATGACAAATTTGAAGGTTATCATTCAGTTGACTGACATTAGAAATTTATTATAAAAAATAGATCACTGCATCTTTATAAAAATGTTAATAAGAAAGTATTCAGCCAGCATTATAAAAGCAAATGAATGAATTACATGCAAACTACTCATAAAAGTGCAAGCTGGAAAGGTCAGTGCTGCTTCATTGATGACAATATCCATGCACCTCTGTGACACTGATTCTGCATGCACAGGATAACTGTACTAATGAAGAGGCATTCTAGTCCAATATAATACATATATATAGTTCCAAAATACAAAGTCTCAAATAATCATACAAGGCATTCAGAGAATACCACCTCTGCCCCAGCCCACCCAAATAGTTCAACATCTCATTACCTTTTCCCATTGGTCTACAACTAAGATTAGCAAAAAAAAACCCAAAACCAAACCAAAACAAAAAACACTCAAATTCCACTGAAGAATTTTTTTAGAATTGATTGTTTTAGGGTAAAAGTAGTGACAAACATGGAAAGTGAAAACATACATCTGTACATCTGCTAAAGATGACACTTGAGCTACTTTAGCTGAATAATAAATCCATATTTAAGTAAATATATGTGCCTAGAAAAAGATTTACTCATAGTAAACTAGAGGAAAAAACAGCATTAAAAAGAGGCAGTATAAAAATAAGGTCTTTGACAATTATTTTAAATATTGAGTGTTTTTCCTTTCTTTGTTTAGTTTTAAAATAGCCATGTTATCAGGAAGTTTAATACTCTGTTACAGAACAAGTAGGAGTTTATACAGTCCTGTTGTTAAACAAAAATTATACCGAAACACATATGCTAAGTCAATCAATGAGACTGAAATGAGATTTTAGGGAAAACATAGTTGTCAAATTTTTGATAATTCAGTATATTTTGGCTCACAAGTCTTCTAAGTTCTCTAGGCCTGGCTTAAGGTATAAAGTGGACATAAAAAGCCTTTATTCCTTTATAGATTGCTGTATGTAGTAAATGTAAGAAATTTTGTATATTTGAATGGCACACAGAAATTCAAATATTTACTGTACTGTGAGTCTTTCCTACTACAATTATCATCACTTTTCCTCCAATGGTTACACTACCTATGATCATAGGTGGTATGTGAAAAGTTAAATCCAAAGCTTTAAATTAATTTGCTAACTTGAATTACTTGAAACTAGGTTAGTCAAGATTTAAATTTACATGTAAGATTATTTGCCAAACCTGCAAACTGTGATACTGTTTGCAAGAGTTATAATTCTGATTTAAAGTGAAAATTCACTTTTCATGTATTCAAATCATGAAGTTTCCTGAAAACTATGCTATATCAGGAATCTGTCAACTTACTAAATACACCAAGGAAAATGTGATCTAAGGAATTAATCATCTGTGCTCATCTTAATGAAGCTAACAATTCTTATTTTCAACTATTTAAAGCAAGACAAATTGACACATTTTGAGGAAATACTTTTTAAACCACAGAAACCAAAAAAAACCCTTAAGTTGTATATATTTTATACAGGAAATTAGAACAGAAAAATTTAATAAGACAGCCAAACTTTTTTAAAAGACCTTTCTAAAGAGAATGAAGCTGAGAATAGCTCTAACTAAAGTAGCCAAAGAGAGTGCAGTGAAATAGCAAAGGGAATAAAAAAAGGATGAGCTTAGGGGAAAAAAAAACCAAATACTACTTGCAAGATAACCTCAAATCTAGAAAACAAAGGTAAACTTAGGAAGTGCAAGGAACAGGTTGGTGAATGCATATGTGCACGAACAACATCCTGAAACTTGCCTGGTAAGTAACGGCTGATTTGATATTGCTTATAAGAAATAGATTAAGAGCAAAAGGGAAGAGGCAGCATAATCTTCTACATATTAATCCTGTTTTTAAAAAATCTAGGGGGAAAAAATACCAAGAAATGAGGTTGAATCAATTATAGGAACTTTGTCTAAAAGAAAACACAAATACGCACAAAAAAGTTGATTCTTAACAACTCAAAACCACAAAAACATGAAATTCTATTATGGTAATTCTAATTACCAAAGCAGAGGAATTACACAAATCTACTAACTGTAGCATAAATTTGTAACTAACTTTACTTTATTCACATTATTCATGTTCAAAACATTAACCTTTGCATTTAAATCCACTCAGCTGCTGCTAACTGTATTTTGTAATCCTATAACTTTATACAGATCAGTTTCAAAGAGTGGGAAAAAAATAAGTGTAAAATGCCTAGTCTCCATGAGAGAAAAAGCAAAATTAGAAATGCCAACTAATATTTTTGATCATGATAACTAAAAATTACTAATATTAAATCAGATTACCTAATACAGATGAGAGGAAAAAGATCAAAAAACTTTCTAAAAAGCAGTGGTTCATAACATAAAAAGATTCAAAATCAGAGACAACTGAGGAGACTGCTAGTATATAAAATAAAAAACATTGATAACCTAATGTACATAAATACTAAAGTATGTTTCATTAAGATTTTCTTTTTATTAAAAAGTCTTTGTCCTTTAATTTACCCAATAATTTAAATCTGAAAACTACCACTTTCCCATTTATAAATATATTCAAAATTTTAGTAAATGAATTAAATAAACATAAAAGTGGTGGTGTATATCTACATTCGTTTCGGAAAAAATGACTATGACACCCACCAAGTAGAAACAATGAACTTCAGAAACACTATATAAACCCTTTTACAGTTGTCGTTTCTTACAGAAAAAACTACACGAATCATTTTGCACTTAAAAGAGTTCTTTTCCTTCATCAAGAACTTAAAATGCTTTAAAGATGATGTTTCAGACTTGTCTGGAAGAGACTTTGTCGGTTACTTCTACTTACACAGGGGATCCAGGTCACTGTCAAATATTGATGATAAATATTGACAGTTGTCACTCACTAATTGATCTCTTGAAATGCTGTTTTATAGTCAAAAGTCTTTGGAGAGAAGGACCAATCAGTTCTACATACTATGGTACTTTTATTAAAGAAACAATGTCATTTCCAACAAATTAAATTCCTAAAATATATGTTTATCCTTTAGACTAAGAGTTAAACTTGTAGCAACTTAATGCTAAGGGAATAGGAATGAATAACAGATGTTTTATAAATTACTTTGATTTTTTAAAATAAAAATAATCTAAAGGTGCATCAGTAGCGCCCTGGATAAAATAAAATAATGGCACATATTGACATAACGTTACGCAGCTATTAAAAATGATGCTGCTGAAGAACTACTATTAAGTGAAAAGTATGCATTACAAATCAGCACATAGCAAAATCCTTTGTTAATAATTATATGCATATATTTATATAAATATTAAGCATGGTTCTATATGTAGCATTATAAGTAATGTTTATCTTCACATGTATTTGTAGGTTCTAAGTCTTCTAAAACAGACTTGTATTATAATTTATATATTTATGTAATTTTATATATTTATGTAATTATAAAAGAATCGGGAAAAAATAAATAGTACTTCTGAAATTACTGGAAAAAGATAAGTTATTTCCAGCACTGCTGGGCTGCACTAAGAAGCTAAAAGAAAACTTAGTTACTGCTTCTCCTGAGCAATGCTAATTCTAAACAGTACATTCTAGAATATAGCCATTTTCAAATAATATGTTCAAAAATGTAAAGTCTGGCAACTAATTGTGAAGTTTTCCCATGTTATGAATTAATGTGGTGTGCTTCTTCTATTTCCATTTAGGAAAATAGGGAACTGAAGGTTTGAAAACAACACTTGAAAATTATAAAGGAGGAGACAATTGGTGGCAAAATTCAAATATTTTAAGTACTTGATTCATTTTTATATCAAAATAGCCAATAAATATTTATTATCTATCTCCTACTATTAGTAATATTCCATTTTAATATATAAATGAGGCAATTTTTAACCCAAGTGTGTTTCCTATCACCAAAGTTGTTTTTTAAAAATCTAGTGATAATTTCTCTAGCTAGTAATTAAGGAAAACTTTGATGTATTAAAATAACCTCCTCCAATAAAGCTCAGTAAACACACTTTTTTCTACCTACCAGATAACATGCTAATATTAAATGGTTCAAATAAATGGTTCAACAGTGCTGTCAAGATCATTTGTATGATGCAATTCAAGTAATGTGGTACTAAAAATGGTTAAAGTGCTAGTCATCAAGAATAGTTAACTTCTTAAATTATAGTACTTTCACAGTTACCCTCCATTAAAGAACCATTCACTTGCCTGCATATATTGAACTGACTTCACAAACCAAGAACTGCATATTTAGTCCACCACTTATAGTAATAAGGCATAGTAACTAATATAAGGTAACTAATATAAGTAACTAATATTAAATGAGGATTAAATAAACATATTTAATAGGAAAAACATAATAAATGTCAGCTTTCACCTTAAAATATTTTTTACGTTTTTAGTTTACTTCTTAAAGAGGTTTTTAATCCTGTACATACGGAACTGTTTTCTCCCTTTTAATTATGGTTGGGTTATTATTTACCACTTGCAAATTTTAGGCCCTAACATTTGCACACTGAATATTATATGTAATGAAGTTTATATCTTCATTAAATCTTGCTCAATATAGATCTATAATTCAAAATTAGTAGCTTTATTCCTTTACAATTAGGTAGACAGCATCACATGGGCATACTGAGAGTTGAAACTTACATTAACAAATTAAATAAAGGGACTATTTAAAATAGAATACATGATTATTTTTAAAAAATCAGCTAAGGTGAAAAGAACTGGATTTCCAAATCAATTAAATGTTTCAAATTAAAATCCAGACAGATTTCAAAAATCAAAATCCACCAAAAGCCATACATTAGAGTTTAATCACCAAATCTAAATAAATTAGTACAAAATACCCTGAAATTATTCAATACCACTTCTCCTTGCTCTCTGTTGAACTGCCACCATACATTCAGATGCATACACTCCACATATAATATTTAGTAATAATCCACCTTTCATGGCTAGATTCCTCCCACCCTCTATTTCTTTATCTCCTTACCCCATTCTGTGCCATCGCCTGAACTCCGTGCTTCTCCAGCTCCTTCACCATCTTCAGCAGTCACTAAAAAATCAAACTCTTTCAGTGCTTCCTCAGTATCAGGATCATCAGTTAGGTCAGCAGCTAAACCTTCATTACCTATCTGTAAATAGAATATAAACCAAGAATTACTTTTATTCTAAACTGAAAAGGGATCCTTCACTTATAGTTTCACACAACTATATTTACAATTATTTTTTAATTTTTAAATTACTTGGATCCAAAATTTTGGATTTCCTATGTAATTCATAAATCGCCAAATAAATGGTTCAACAGTGCTGTCAAGATCATTTGTATGATGCAATTCAAGTAATGTGGTACTAAAAATGGTTAAAGTGCTAATCATCAAGAATAGAAAGATTTGCCTAAAATAATTTGAAATGAACTTTGGAGAAAGGCAACAGAGAACAATCAATTTTATTTAATCAGAGAACATAATAATCTTTCACATATTCTTGAGTAAAGTTTTTAGGCAATACATAATATGTAATAATCATTTGAATCTCTATAGCTACCTTCAGGTACTGTTTTAAAATAAGAACCAGAAAGAAAATTAGAATCGTTGGATTCATGTTTTCCCCTTCCTACAGGCCCCTGGTGATGTTCTTGAGACATTCAATTTCTTAGAAAATGCTGATGACAGTGATGAAGAAGAGGAAAATGACATGATTGAAGCATCCCAGAAGGAAAAGACAAACACGCATGAATAAACACAAAGTAGGAACTAGATTTATGTTCTATTAGCTACATATCATATATTTGGAATAGGAATTTTTATATGTCTTAAATCACCTGGGAGTGATCATTTTGTAAGTTTTATATGGTCTACTCTTTTTCAGTTTAACACATATTGTAGGAATCATTTACTGTACTAGTCACAAATGGGCAAGAAAAGTCTGTTTTATAGGACTAGACCATTGGTTTTGAAATTTTAAAAGTGACACCTATGCTGGATATGATAGCTCATACCTCTAATCCCAGCACTTTGGAGGCTGATGCAGAGATCACTTGAGGCCAGGATTTCAAGAGCAGCCTGGGCAACATAGCAAGACCATCATCTATACAAAAGCATTGTTTAAAAATTAGCCAGGTGTGGTGGTGCATGCTGAGCCCAGCATTCTGTGTTGCATTGATATGATCATGCCATCGTACCCCAGCCTGGGTGACAGAACAAGCCCTATCTTTAAAAAAAAAAAAGAAAGAAAGAAAAAAATAAAACGACACCCTTTGCACTCCTGCCACAATTTGAGAATCTCCGAAGTTCTCTCTCCCATGTACAGTACACGAGTAATAAATTAACCGAAGCAGCAATGAGGATACTTTTACCCTGGGTGAAAAGTATCTGTGGATAGTAAATTTTGTCAATATTCTTGTTCTTTAGCAGATTAAAAAAATAATAACCTAAGAAACATTTATCTGTTTTAGTGGTGATGGAGATTGGGGGTTAGCTATAGAAGCAAAAGTAGAGTTGATCGTCCATTTTTGAATTATCAGAGTGATGTTCTTTATTCCAAATATGAAAAAGGATAGGTTCATTTGTGGTACTTTGAGATTTTACAGTCTACAAAAGCAGCTTTCAGTCTTTCTGCCACATTTGTGTAACATAGTCTATTTAGTGAATAGAGATTTTGATCCTTTCAGTTATTTTGTTCTGGGAGTTAAAACACTGTCATAATTACCACAGCTATGGACTTATATTAGTTACTATGCCTTATTACTATAAGTGGTGGACTAAATATGCAGTTCTTGGTTTGTGAAGTCAGTTCAATATATGCAGGCAAGTGAATGGTTCTAATGGAGGGTAACTGTGAAAGTACTATAATTTAAGAAGTTAACTATTCTTGATTCATTTACCATGTACTCTTAGGGTTAGGAAGGACATTTGAGATCATCTATTTCAATCCTCACAGTTTTCAGGTAAAGAAGTTGAGGCCAAAAGATTTAAGTGTCTTGGCCAGATTCAACAGCTAGTTGGTGGCAGAGCAGAGACTTTCATGGTGAAAGTCTTTGTTCAGCTGAATTTTCTACTGTTTCTGCCTTTATTGTTAGATATTAAACAACTGTCTGAAAACCTTTTTTTGTACATAGAGGACCTCAGTTTAAAAAAGATTTAGTAAGTGAATAAAATAGATTGTCATTATTACCTATTAAATGAGTGGTCTGAAAGACTTGAAAGTATTTAATAGATTATGGGTTTTTTTGTTTTTGTTGTTTTTTAAGATAAGAAAATCTGTGAAATGGATTGGGATGTTTTATATCTGATTTACTATAACTTTAAGTCTGGACAGCCTGATAAACTTTGATATTGACTGTTTTAGTCTTCAAACATTTGAGCCAAGCTCTAAGAGATTATAGTTATAAGAAGTGCTGAGTTTCCTGTTCATGGCTTTATTTTGAAAATTAATGGTGTGTTTGAGTATCTAATACTTATAGGCTTATTTGTTATAGTAAAGGAAACAGTTGTGCAGTGCGTTCCGGAGATATCAGATTAGAATGAAGACAGAACACTGTAAGAAAATCTCTTAGGATATGAAAGTAATATATACTTATGTGTCTGAGGATTTCGAAAAGAAAATATACAGTTCGGGAAAGTTTCAGGGAAAATAAGTTATGACTTTCTCGGAAAAAGAAGCAGGTAGAAAAACCCATCAGGTAGGATTTCAGAAAGCCATGTGTAAAAAAAAGTAGAAGCATGGTGTGGTTGATGTGACTTAAATGCGGATTAATATACAGAGTTACTGGGATAACCATGGAATGATTATTGATAACCAAATAATTGCGTATAACTATATTATTTTGAAGGGGAAAGGTGGAAATGACAGAAACTATAAGAATACATCTTCATCAAGAATTAGTAGTCTGAAGGGGCCGGTTATTGTAGAAACTATTAGGCCGTAAATATAAAGGAAACTTCTAAAGAAAATAAAAATGGTTGTTCTGCGTATAGAAATGAAAGTAGGAAGGTTAGGGCAGGGATCTGGTTACCCTTATCACACTGGCCTTATAAAAATTGTTAACTTTAGAAGATATTGTGTTTTCACAAAACGTGTGTTCATAGCAGTAGCTTTATCTATAAACAAAAATAATGACTTGTGATGCGACCCCAAATATTCCTAGCTAAACTCTGTTAGAGCCCTGAAAGTTTGCCTGCGATCATGCCCTTTTCTTCTTTCATCATCTTTCTGGCGTATGCTCATTCGTTAATTCCAACACTCTTCTATTTCTTCCTACTCTTCATAACCAGTAATCCACTCCAGACCATGTTCCTGATTTTAGTCATTCTGCGATAGGTTTCGTGACAGTAGCTTCATTTTTGCTTCTGGTTTTGTTTTTAGAGGCAATTCTCTATGGATCGGTCATATTTCTGAAGCATCTTGTTAGCAGGAGGATACTGATACTCTTTTTCTGGACTATCGCGCGGTTAGCATATGATGTATAACAAAAAGCGTTGCGAAGATAGACATCTTTGGGTTGTATCTTACTCCAGAAAAGCTGCAAAGTTCTGTAAGTCAGATTCAGCTGGATTCAAATAAACGGCAGATGCAGCAGTTAACCTGTCCTCTCTTGCCACATTGTGCGCTTGAAAGTGAAGGAACTGTAGTGAACTTATGTTTTGCTTACTTCCTGTTGGCCCTTGGAGGAATAAGATTCTTTTCTGTGAATTCATCGTTATTGACTTCTTTCTGGATCAATGAAACAGTTAACAGGCTAGGTGTTAGCATGCAGGTACGTAATCTCAGTACCTTTCATAGTCCATGATCCTTAATTTTCTTCCCTATAAGGACTAATTTCCCTAAGGACGTTGCATATAAGATCATGTCTTATTTGCCATCCACTTCAGTTTTACTGCAATGGTCTATTTGAAAATTTCTCCATTTTTTTAAAATCGTTTTATTTTTTACCATTGGAGATTGTAAGTGGCTTTTATATATCTGGTTCATCAAAGTAAGACTTTGCAGATGTTTCTCATGAATCTGTGGCTTATCTGTTTTTACATTCTGTTAGTGTCTTTCAAACAAGCAAAGTTTATATTTGGGTGAGTCTGATTAATCATTCTTTCTTACGTGTTGGTTTTTTTTTTTTTTTTTTTTTTACTTTTAAAGCCATGCACATTTTAAACTAGAAATAGGACTCTCCACTTAGAGCCAAACATTTCTATCCAAGGACAGCAGTACTTAATTTTTCAAAGTTCAAAACAAAAATCTCATACTTCAAAAAAATACTTTTAAATTATTCTCAGTTTGAGTATGCCACGTTTTTGTCAAATATGTTCTTTGCCTTCATTTAATCCTGGCAATATTTAAGATAACTAAATTACGTAATATTTGAGCTGAAAAGTACCTTTTGTTATTGGTGCGTAAGCTGTGTTTGTTTTTGCTAATTTGCAATTTGCGAAAACACCATCTCTTTCTGGTATTAGTTCTTATACAGTTTCCTTTAAACAGTGGCTGGATTGGTGGGGTATAAGGTAGACCTATTAAACAAAGCTGTTTAATTCTGGTCAAAAATCTGCAATTTGGCCGCGGTCCATGATCATGGGTTCCACATTCTTGGATTCAAACCAGCCATGCGATCAAAATTGACGTATGGAAACAAAAACAATGACAATAAAAATTGCAACATACAGTATAAACTATTTTACATTGCATTTGCATTGTTATTTAAATTACTAAGATATTATAAATAATCTAGCAGATCGATTTAGTATATGTGTATATGGGGAAGGATGTGTGTAGCGGACTGGAGGAGATGGGGGGAGTGGTGTTGTGTCGGATAACCATTCCCTGTGGAACCAAGGAGTAACTGTAGTCGAATTGTTTTCTGTTCCCTTAATTGGAGACTAACAGGGATCATTCATGAGGGGGAAGAAAAGCTAAATTTCTTGATTATTTTTTTCATTACCATCGTACCTAGGGTTAGAAGGAATTTTGAGGATCAATCTATTTCAATCCTCACATTAAAGGTAAAGAAGTTGGAGCGCCAAAAGATTTAAGTGTCTTGGCCAGATTCAACAGCTACGTTCGGTGGCAGGAGCAGAGACTTTCATGCGTGAAAGGTCTGGTATCAGCTGAATTTCTTACTTGTTTCTGCCTCGTATTGTTG